TAAATAATAATAAATAAACTTAAGACCATTCATTGTTAACCTGGGTGTTTGGTAATTGAACCTCGAGCTTAAAACGGGAAGCCTTTACTGCATCACACATAAGTTGCTTAATTTTACTGTATTTCATTTAAAGACTCCACATCAAAGAATGCGTTGTTTCGGTGTCTACAGTTTTAGTGAAGCAAAATTTAATATTTCTTTTGTTCTATATCCTGAACATAACAAGCATGAAGTAATTTGTGTGCATACTTTGACGTGAGCAAAGCAACAGATTGCAGATCCTTTACCTAAGCCTCTGTTGCCTTCTGCAACATAGAACCTACATGGTTAACTTAGTGGCTAGAATCCTCTTTTCAGAATCAGCTCCTTTGCGTTCAGTTCCCTATTTACGTTGCAATTAAATCCAGATGCGTGTTTAAAACATTTGTAGAAGTAAACAGGATTGTATATAAGTCAAACCGGTGATAAATTCATCGACATTCCGACACTTTCAGGGCAGTATCATGCAAACTCGTCACCAAGGATTCCCTGATGCTGTATTTATCAGATCCCTATTTCCAAACATCCACAGACTACACCACACCCGACCTCAAATTGGGTTAGCCCATCGGTGAAATCTGACCAGTAAGTGTGCCTGAATGTGTAGAGAATGATTTCCAACCCTGGATACGAGTGCATTTCACTGAAACGCGAGTAGCATCCACATTGTGGAAAGTGTAAGAGTGTTTTAACGTAATGATTTATCGATTTTGTGTTGTTTGAAACCTAAAGGAAGAGACGTGGGTGTAGTTGGGACAATAATACTAAAACGGATCTATGTGGCTTAGAATGTGGACCAGTATCACGTTATTCTGAACACGACAATTAACCTTTAAATTCCACGCAAAGAGGGGAATTTTCTCAGATCTTTAGATAATATTTAAGAATTCAGTCCCTTCCCAACTTCTCTATTGCAAAGGTAAAATAGTTACGGATTTTTAAAAGAAAGAATAAATGTTTAATCTGATAATCATTTGAAACTCGTAGCTCCACGAATTCTTAATTTTGTTACTTGATAGATACGTCGATACCAATTGAGGCTGAGTGTGCTTCATGGTCTGTGACAAGGAAAGAAGTTATTTTATTCCAAACTCCTGGTGTCAAAACCCATTACACATGCTTTAATAATATGTGTTTATGAATAATACTCTTTGTAAGAGTAAACTATACATTTCGAACACCTCATTATTTTGCATACTTCCGATACCTAAGGCTCAGGCCATTGGCTAGCAGAGCCTGGGGAAGATTTTTAACATATAACTTCGCCTTTAATCTTCCCTACTAACTTCCTGAGGCCTGCAGACATAAACCGTGGCTTCTGTTCGTACTAAACTTTTCTACACTCCATTAAATGGACTGGATCATTAGGGAAAACGCTGCAAATTCACCTTTGACCGCTTTCGGGCTAATGGGCGAGATTCCTATAACCTCAAACTCGCGATAATAAACGAATGTAATTACTCATAACATGCAAGGGCAGAAATTACGAACATGAAGTGTGAAAAGTGGGATGAAAATTACTGGCTTCCTTTGTAACGCTCCGAGTACACCCTGTCAGGAAAATCAATTCACGATTTGTAATTTAAATTACAACAAGATTAGTATTTATCCTTCAAGTTAACGTTGTAGTTATTAATTTTTTTAGTTTTAATGGACTGTTACTAAACTTAATAAAACTTAAGATGGTAAAGTTGCGTCATATTGTGATATAATAAGTATATATTAAATCTTGTCCGTCTAATCACAATAATTCTTATTAAATATTAAAATATTACAATAATTAACA